CCCTTTACCGCAGTAATTAAGGATCTGCGAAGGAAGATGAGTTTGCTTTAACAGAAGCTGATACGTATATAGATTGACAGACATGCATGCCAACTGTGGAAAGAGGAGAACAAAATAGGAAAAAATCAGGTGCTTTAAGGGCGTTGCACATTTTCTACGATACCAATACAGCTAAATGTGCTCCATATGTGCTTTTATGTGTAAATAATATAACGATGCAAATATTTGACTGACCTGCAGACTGGGGTAGGTCCTGTTGTTGTCGGAGCTCTTCTCGCCGGGGATGCTTCCGGCCGAGCGACCCTCACACTTGTACCTGAAGCGCATTCCCCTCTGCTTGGGCTGCTCGAAGATCTGGATCTCTGGTTCAGGCACTAGAGAGCACAGATGATGAAAACAGACAATTAAGGGATGTGTAGGGGCAAATAGGGAAGGAGACGATAGTGCAGAGGCAAGGTGAATCAGTACCCAAATAAGACAGAAGTGTCTGCTTCTTGTTTTGCCTGTTTGGATCGCCACTAGTGGCTTTGTGCTGGGAAGGTGGAATCACCAAAAAACATCTTTTTGTATTGAATGACAAAAGTTACAGGATCAATAAGTCAAGGGAAGGTCTTCTCAGTTAACGGCCATGTTTCTGACATTAAATAACCCAGGAAGCATTGAATTTGCAGGACAAAAAAACCCCACTCAAAATGTCTGCTTTGAAAAAAATCCATTAAATCGTTTGCTTAAACAAAAGTGTTAAAAAAATATAGCGGAAAAAATGTCCCAGCCTGTGTTTTGAGTTAATATTTTACTTCTGTTTTTGTATGTTGCCTAAAGCTTTGTGTAGAAGTGATATCTACCACCTGAAGATAGCTGCAAGTAAACCACCACTATGAGCCTCCTCATAGACACTGTCAACTGTCTAAGCTTCATGGAAAAAATGACTTATTGTACACCCTTCAGCTACAGAAAGATGAGAGTGAAAAATACAAGATGAAATGGGACTGATGAATGCTCTTTTATGTGTAAAACTGATTAGCACATCCTAATCTTCCTGTTTTTGTTTTGCTGTCACTGTTAAAACTGTCACTGTCTGGTTCAATAGTTCAGTAAGCTTATATTCAGTGATGGTTAAAATGTTTTGAGATGTTTTCAGAGTTCAGTAATGCTTCTCACTGAAAGAGTTTCTGACATACAGTTGGAATAACGTTATATGTAACCTAGATGTCTAACACTATTTCAGTGGAAAATGTAGCCCTGTTAGATGTACAGGCAAATTTTAAACTACAAATCATCAAATCCGGCAAACCTCCGCTGTTGTTCTGCATTCAAAACAAAGTATGATATTAGTTCATACTACTTAGACCCTACTGCATGAAAAAGAACTTGCACCACATGATGCCTGTGTGAGAGAGGAACTAAAACTGATCCGGGAAATGTGTCTGTTTTGGGTTACAGTACTTCCAATGATTTGACAACACGAGAATCAGTTTTTCTTGACATGAGAGCTGAGTGGCCAGCGTTCACACGCAGATGCTATGTAGGGCAAGTCATGTTACATTTTTGACATATATAATACCGTTTGCCAAAAACTAGGCACTTTCATAGCCCGCCTTCCTCATTTTGCAGCTACGCTCCAAACACAGAAATGAGAGAAGATGTAGCTCTCTCTCTCACACACACACACACACACACACACATATATATAACACTGAACTCATACATCTCAAACTATGAAGACGTTTCCCAGCACCTTTGGTTGTCACACACACACAAGATGCTAAAAACACACACACAGACAATGCTTAGCAATAAAACTAAATAGGGAAGTGAAAGACCCTGCATATATTCAAAGACTGTTTGACACATATACATATGACTTGTGACTTTGTTAAAATTTACTTACTTAGGTGTGAATTGTCCCCTAGCATGGAGGGCATAAGATCTGAGGAGGAAAATGTGACATACAGGAGGAAATTAGGCAATATACATGTAAATTAGATCTAAAACCATACGGAAGCATATTTCACTCAAACTGGTTTGTAGTGTTTTGTAACCTTCTTCATTGTGATTACAAGCACTCCAATCAATCATTGCAACAAGGAGGAAGTTTCGCTGTGTTCAACAGACTTACAACAACGCCAAACTGTTTAACTTAAGAGTGTTAAGTTGCTATTGTACATTTAAAAAAAAAGTTACATCTGAGTCACTACATGATATTCATTACATTCTGTCTTACCTCTCATTCTCCGCGTAACCGTTGTTATTATACAGTAAATATCTGTTGCTACTCACCCATGATGAAGGCGCACTCACTCGCTTTCTCTCAGCCGTACCACAGGTTATTGTCTCTTGGAGAACCCCGAGCTCAATGAGTGACAGTGGACAGAAAAGTAATATTTGTTAGAAGATACCAGCGGGGGGGGAATTCCCTCTGCCCCGCCCACTTGATCTGAACTGGCCAATGAGAAGCCGCATGACTCACATGAGCGAGAGCGCTGAGGATTCGCTACCTGCGCTGCGGAGAGTTCACTGCGTATCCTCCAAGAGCAGAGGCAGACTGAAGGCGACGGAAGGCTTCAGTTTGGAAGAAGCCGCGACAAATAATAAAAGCAAATACACGTGTCACACTGTGTAATGGATCAATATTCAACTATCAGCAACTCTTCACACTTCCTACATGTCACCACATGCATCAGCACTGGCTATACTTACTGTAAAGCACGGAGGCAGCAGCATGCAAACCTGGATGCCTGATGTCAGCCAACACTGACCAAGTTAACATTTTGGGTATCATCTTGCTAGTTTGTACCTTTGTAAATATACTACATAATCTATGAAAAACCCATGTCGTTTTGGAATAGTTCGGTATATAATGGAAAAGCTTTCTTGCTTAGAGTTCTCATATCTGTCAGCTACGTTGGGGGGGCCAGCAGCCCACCTGTTAGCTCCGTTTGTCCAAAGGTGATAAAAAGAAACACACCCCACCAGCACCTCTGGAGCTCACCAAGCTTTTTATTTTTAAACTTTGTTTAACCCATACAGAAAAAAAATAATAATTTGCCTTTTTAGGGGTGTGGAACTTCCTGGAACAGTTGCCAGGCAATCTGTAGAGACTCCAGGAAGTTACTGCTGCCAGCCAAGAAAGTGGCCACTACACCCTGTAAAACAGCAAAATAGGTTCATTTCTCAAACTGGACAACTAGACTAAAAACTATTTTAATAACATTCTTGTGTTGCGCAAAATCAATCATTTATTTCAGTAATTCAACTTCAAAAAGGTGAAACTCATGCAAAGTGAGATATTTCAAGCCTTTATTTGATATAATTTTGATGATTATTGCGTACAGCTTATGAAAACCCCAAATTCAAAATCTCAGAAAATTAGATTACATGAAATCAAAAAAAAAAAAAAAGGATTTTAAATACAGAAATGTCAGCCCTCTGAAAAGTATAATGATGCATATGTACTCAGTACTTGGTTTGGGCCCCTTTTGCATGAATTACTGCCTCAATGCGGCGTGGCATGGATGCCATCAGCCTGTGGCACTGCTGAGGTGTTATGGAAAACCAGGATGCTTCAATAGCGGCCTTCAGCTCTTCTGCATTTTTCTCTTGGCAATGCCCCATAGATTCTCTACGGGGTTCAGGTCAGGCCAGTTTGCTGGCCTATCAAGCGCAGTAATCCCATGGTCATTGAACCAGGTTTTGGTACTTTTGGCAGTGTGGGCAGGTGCCAAGTCCTGATGGAAAATGAAGTCAGCATCTCCATAAAGCAGCATAAAGTGCTCTAAAATGTCCTGGTAGACGGCTGCGCTGACTCTGGACACAGTGGACCAACACCAGCAGATGACATGGCCCCCCAAACCAACACAGACTGTGGAACTTCACACTGGACTTCAAGCATCTTGGATTGTGTGCCTCTCCATTCTTCCTCCAGATTCTGGGACCTTAGTTTCCAAATGAGATGCAAAATTTGCTCTCCTCAGAAAAGAGGACTTTGGACCACTGAGAAACAGACCAGTTCTGGTTTTCTTTAGCCCAAGTAAGACGCTTCTGACGTTGTTTGTTGTGCAGGAGCGGCTTGACAAGAGGAATACAACATTTGAAGCCCATGTCCAGGACCCGTCTGTGACGGGTGTGTCAGTAACTCCATTCTCAGTCCACTCCTTGTGAAGCTCCCCCACACATTTGAATGGCCTTTTCCTGACAATCCTCTCCAGGCTCCGGTCATCCCTGCTGCCTGTGCACCTTTTCCCTTCAACTTAACTTTCTATTAATGTGCCTTGATACAGCACTTTGAGAACATCCAACTTCTTTTGCAATTACCTTTTGAGGCTTTCCCTCCTTGTGGAGAGTGTCAGTGATTCTGCACAACTGTCAGGTCAGCAGTTTCCCCATGATTGTGAATTCCACTGAACCAGACTGAGAGACCAATTAAAGGCTCAGGAACCCTTTGCAGGTGTTTTGGATTAATTAGCTGATTAGAGCGTGACACTTTGAGCCTACAATACTGAACCTTTTCACAATATTCTAATTTTCTGAGATTTTGAATTTGGGGTTTTCATAAGCTGTAAGCCATAATCATCAAATTATATCAAATAAAGGCTTGAAATATCTCACTTTGCATGTAATGAGTCTATATTAGTTTCATTAGTTGAATTACTGAAATAAATGAACTTTTGCACGATATGCAAATTTTTCAAGTTTCACCTGCACTTTCCTACTACCTGGATGGGAAAAAGCCACAACTTGAGAGACCTGTTATGTTTTTGTAGCCTACTGTGAACTACATTTTTTGATTCATATGGTCAAATGGAGTCTTGAGGATTCTGGAAATACTTTGAGCAGGTCCAAGTTTAGTTAAATAGCCTTCAAGGTAGGGTGAAACCAGCCGCTGATCTGTCTTTGCATGTAAACACAAATACAAGCGGTATGACTACAGCGGATTATGCAGACGAGAAAGCCACTTAAGAAGTTTTATCGGTTAACTCTGATATGCATAATGAGACCAAAAGAAACCATGGACTAATCTTAAAATCACAAAGTGCATTTCTCATTGAGATTAAAAGTTCATTCTTGACCTTAGAAACAGTCATTGACCAAACAATCTTCCCATTAGGTCTGTTAAGCTCTGCAGTTCTCAGTAACTTCACATTCAATTTAACGCTAATTTATTAAGCTGAACTGACAGACACGAAAGCTGGGGTAGGCAATTATTACAGAAGCATTTTCTATTTGTTGAAATTCACTTTACATCCCGACATCAATCAATAAATGCTCTGACAGAAAAACTTCAAAAAATCTAGTATCTGTGGCTGCTGCAGGACTGTTGTAAGCACGTCTGTTTACCTGTGTGCACTCCTTTGTGTTGGTAATAAAAAAAAAAAAAACTCCCATCACTGCCAGAAGAGGTGAACATGTGTCAATTTATGACAACAAATAATTGTATAAAACATATATAACAAAGAACACAGACATCAGCGTAGTTTTTAGGGGTTTAATGGTGTACAGATTCATTTAAAGGAAGTGATAAACACATACAAAAATACCCTTTCAATACATTTTAGAAACAAACATCTAAATGACTTGTTTTGTTAAATGTTTCTGAACAGCAAAACATGAATTGTCTGAAACAGAGTGGTGCAGATTTCATTCAAAAAGAGACCTACCTGCTATGAATGCTATTTAAAAAAAGATCACATGGTACAAATATGCAAATATAAATAAAGTGATAAGAAAACCCCCAATAATGAAGAATATGCCTTTTGAAAAACAGTTCTCTGTACATTTAGTTGGGGAAAACTGATGCTGGAAAATAGAGCCTGTGTTAACTCGCTACCTGCTCCGAAGAAGAGGGTACCTCGTCAGCATCACTTATAGTATACATATATCTTCTGTGCTGAACACAGAGCTATCCAGCTTTAGACCATAAAGATGGAGGGTTGGGGCCAAAGGCAGGAAAAGAGTTGTCTCCTCACCCCCCCCCCCACTGGTGACCCCAGATGCCTTTTAAGAACCTCCACAGGAGGCGCAGAGGGTAAACACCCAAAACGAAGGGAATTCTGTCTCTCTCCAACACATAAACACAACCGTCTATGCATGCACGCTCATACAGTCAACCACACGCATGCATACACACACACACACACACACACCAGCACAACTCCTCAAAAAGCTTCGAACCATTTTTTCCATTAAGCACCAAAAACTTTCATGGACACAAAAACAACCAGGACCTGGCTTCATCAGGAACAAGCTGCACCATTAAAACAGACCACGGTGAACTGGTGGGGGTGGGGGGAGTCAAGCAGTTTCCCGAACAAATCACTTTTGTTGTTTGAGGTTAATTTTAGATGTCAGACAATCTGCGAATCACAGGGACACACAACCGATGTTTAAACACTTTCTTGTGACTGTCTAAACTATCCAGTGCTCACCGACCTGACATCTAGGGCTTAAACTCAAGGCAAGTGCACAGAAAACCCAGCCTTTAAATAATAATTACAAAAACAAGATCAACAATAGGCGTGACACTGAAGCTATACTGAACAGAAGGATTAGTGTAGCATTTTGATGGTTCTTCCAATGTTCTGTACTAATCCTTCCACGAGCTAAACAATACCTGAAAAGATGTAATCACTTCCAGAAAATGCACAACGTTTCCTGTTGTCGTAAGGATAATTTATTTGCGGTTACCTGCACCTGAGAAGCACTGGTGTCACTGGGTGTCTATGATCATCTACACATTGCAAGTCCAATACTAACCTGGAGTCCACTTTAGGTAGTTGTGGTGGTCCAAAGAGTTGTGGTCGTGATTTCCGTCATATCCAAGCAAACCCTCAATAAAGCATCCCTGCAACTGTATCCAAAACCTATACAGTGTTTACAAAAAATATCCAGGGCTTGAGACAAAGTTGTTTTGGGACAAGCAACAGAGATAAACAAAAAATTAAATTTTTTTAAACTTTTTTTTCTCATTTTTAGATAAAACTACAATAGAATGGTCAAAAGACTCAACAGTGATCTTTTGCTCTTTTTTTTTTAAGACAAAAAAGTTATGTACATCAACATTTACTGTACAGGAGATAAAGAAAAAACAAACAAAAAAAAACAAATCAGCATACACCAGAAGTGTGTAGCAAGCGTCGATAAATGTTTTGGGCTGTTTTAAAACATTAACGGGGAAAAAAGGGAAAATGAAAAGATGAACAGCACATTTTCCATCTGTACTGTGTACATTTTTAAACAGTGAGGGAGAAGACGAGTAAAAAAAAAAAAACACTTGCTGTAGTTCTCATGTCAGATATCTCCACGACTGCCGTGTTAAATGCCCTCTGCCTGTGAGAGTGACAGAGGGCGCTGACAACATCTGGTTTAACCAAATCACCTATCCACTGGCAAATCTGTAATCTCTGAAGATTTGAGGTGAGGTGTCCGTCCTGCTGCTTCACACTTGAGACTGACTGACCTGTCCCTGTGTGAAGTCATCCTCTTGGTGTTTGACTTAAACTGTAAAAGCCCCACCCTCTTTGTATGTATGAATCCAGTCTACAGTTGTGTGTTCAAGCTATGTGGATTCTGGCCTTTTCTGTTTCTTTCAGCCTCTTGGCCTGCTCCTCCAGAGAGGGGGAGTGGGGTCTCTTTGAGGCCGCGCCGTTCAGCGGGTCAGCTCCTCGGCTCACCAAGGTGGGGATGGAGCTGCCAACTGGGGGCGCTGCATGTTTGGA